TTACAAATCATATCATAAGAAACCCAAGTGGTCAACTAGTATATATATATGTTACAAATCACATCATAAGAAACCCAAGTGGTCAGCTAATATATATGTTACAAATCATATCATAAGAAACCCAAGTGGTCAACTAGTATATATATATGTTACAAATCATATCATAAGAAACCCAAGTGATCAACTAATATATATATGTTACAAATCATATCATAAGAAACCCAAGTGGTCAACTAGTATATATATATATATATGTTACAAATCACATCATAAGAAACCCAAGTGATCAACTAATATATATATGTTACAAATCATATCATAAGAAACCCAAGTGGTCAACTAGTATATATATGTTACAAGTCACATCATAAGAAACCCAAGTGGTCAACTAATATATATATATCTTACAAATCATATCATAAGAAACCCAAGTGGTCAACTAGTATATATATGTTACAAGTCATATCATAAGAAACCCAAGTGGTCAACTAGTATATATATGTTACAAATCACATCATAAGAAACCCAAGTGGTCAACTAGTATATATATGTTACAAGTCACATCATAAGAAACCCAAGTGGTCAACTAATATATATATATCTTACAAATCATATCATAAGAAACCCAAGTGGTCAACTAATCGCAATTCCTTCAAGAAACATCTGAGTTGGAGACAAAAGTTACAAACTATACAACGGAAAACGATTGCTTTAAATAAATTTATTATCCATAGCAAACATTTGAAAAGCAGATATCCCAGCTAATTGTTTGAGTAATAAAATTGTTTTCAATTCTTGATATTGTAATAGACTGGTGAAGTTTCATGACGGTTAGTGATTTTATGAACACGTTATTTAAGAAGAAGAATTTATTGAGTAACAGATTTATTCTTTAGGTCATGAAGTTCAGAAATGAAGTGCTACTTTTCATCTTGACCACTTCAACATTAGTCTTTACCTCCAATCAAACTAAAAGAAGCGGAAGGTGTTCATCTTCAGGAGAAGGAAGATTACAATACCTTTGGGGTGACGCGCTTACACCATCTCCTTGTGATGGCCCTGATGGCACGTCTTATCCTTTGTAAGTACGAAAAACTAGCCGTTTAGAATCCACAAATACCTCCTGATGTATCAAACTATGAAAAAAGTTACTTCATAAAAATAGCTTCATTGTAAGGCATTTTTACAAAACTCTAAACAGGCAGACTCGTGTTTGTTTATGTTTGTTTTTTTTCCATTTATTGAAATCACATTTCAACTAGCCGTCTCTCAAATCAACTACACAGCGCCATCACATGGACTTTCTGGTAAATATATAATTTTCTTGATAGTTCAAACGTAAACATTTGTTTGCTGAAGGTACAAGTACAAACTCTGTTGCAAACTCAGATAGAAAATTTGTCCTTAAATATATTTTAGTAAATTAATTGTGTCAAGTTGCTAGTATGTCGAATCACAACGTCCAAGGTTCGAGCCGCGATATGCCACTGAATATGCTACACATTTTCAGCTATAACGTCTGGTTTGCGTCTATTACGGTCAACCCAATATTCGGTTAAGAGAAGCCGTGAGGGCAACAGGTGCTGCTGACTGGTTTACCTCCCTGTGGTCAACAGTTAAAATTAGGGATAATTGCTGAGCCTGTCATTGTTGTCTCTGATCTCGACATCTAGTGGAATAAGGTGAAAATACAGAATATTTAATTTAATTAAGAACAATATTTTACTCATCATTCCCACAATTCGTTAGTAAAAGAGTAGCTGCCTTCTTTCGCTGCTAAATTATGGACGTCTACTTGGAGAGAAGATGGGAATATGACCAATGAATGTAGGACAATTTCCTAGTGTCCAATTCTTGCTAACAGAATAAGATGTATTAAAATTAAAGGTTGTTATAATTTTACATAAAAATCTGTAGAAAATTTAAAGAAAAAAAACATTGTTAGAATATGAAATTATTCATAAGTATTAGAAAAATATTTAACACATCAAAATTTACTTTATTCTTTCTCTCAATAGATGGCAGGGTAGTAGTGATACTACTATTTTGCTGTTAAACTCGAAGCTTCAAAATTGGCTATCTGTGCTATGCTCACCGCGGGTACAGAAAGTCAGTTTTTAGCGTTATTAGCCCTCAAACACTGAGCCATCTGAGAGGTACAACTATTTGGAAATTATATTTGATCCCCCTCGGCAAGGCAACAAGCAAATAAAGTGACATGGATGCAACTACTAGGAACTACATATACTTTACCAGCATATTGTGTATTTATGTATGCTGCCTACGCTTTTGAGTCTCTAAGAATATAATATTACATTATTAATACAAGAGCTTTACATTCTTATGTAATTACTTAAGTATGGCAAGTACGACAAAACTAACAATATATTGACGTCATTATTACATGATTATGGAAATATTTCACATAAAAATCCTCAGTAATGTTACAGGTTGTCATTCAAAATTATATTATGTGATATCATTCAAGTGATTCGTTTACATTTCGGCCATCTTACTTATTAGAATTAACAGTGAGTCACGTAAAAGTTCCAGTGTAAGTTTTAATGAGTAAGTATGCTAGAGCATAAAACTGATTTGTTGAAAATATGTGAGGAGAAGGCTCAGAAAAAAACAACATATATATATATTTTTTTTAAACTTAAGGTCTGAAACTAATGTTGGCCTAACACACTAATAACGTTTAACAGAAATTTACTTGGTTAACAACAAGCGTAACTTACTGATTAATTTTAATCAAGCAATCTATTCTCTCGATCAACCACTGCTCGATCTTCCTGTCAGAGTTTTATATATGTGGGCTTGGATTATTTTACACTATGTGTCTGTGACTTGTTGGCGATAAATTTGAACAATAAACGGACAGCACACAATCCACTTGTTTTAAAATAATATATTCAAAACAAGTCAAACGTATGTACAAAAATTCTTCTCACTATAGAATATCACAGTTGTATATAAAAACTCTAAATAATTATCTTTTCTTGTCAAAAGTCTACAGGATGATTCAATTACTTTAGAATCCAAGTGACAAGGTGAATAATGTTTCTTAGTATACAATCTGCGATAAATTCATTTACATTACTCACTTGGTCGCATATATATATACATTATCCAACTGAGGCCTAGAACTTTCCACAAACTACGAGACGCTATTATGTAACAATACTCACTTAAGACAACGAGAAAAATACAGAAGGTTCGGGTAATGTGACGTCAGTTTACAACAATTGAATTACACACACAACGTACGGCTCTTATCGAGTTACGTATCAAAATTTGTCATAACTATCGACTTTAAAATAATTACTTTTAACATCGTTGTTATGAAAACTAAATAATCATTAAATATTAAATCAATAAATAAACTAAATAATAACTCTTACACTAAACAGTCTTGTATATCTAACACTTTCACACACCGAGCTAACTGAACTCACTCACTGATTACCCTTATATGGATATTACTCTAATTTTCTCAATCTTAAGGTCATCTGCCCTATAGCTAAATCTAAATCAAAACAATAAAATATAGCTTACAACAATATATATATATATTCAAGTGATAAAATGTAGTGTATAACACTAATAAAATAGATTGTAAGACAATTAAATTTACCATCTGCTGCTTTTTTATATAATAGCTTCCTTTTAAAGGACCGAAGGTTTAGAAAGAGATTTTATTTAGCATTTCCTGTTTACGTATTCTGCAAAATATAACAGTTAACATCAAGTCAGTTTATTGTACCAACTGAATGTCAAATGTGTTGTGTTGATGACTGCGGATTCCTGGACAGTTTCTCTAGACTTAGTGGTTTTTAATCCATAAATTATTCTCCCTTAACATCTTACAGTCATGAAGTGGAGCTATTTATGAAAAAGTCCAACCTAACTCACCTGGTGGTGAAACGGTCACCAACAATAGATCCACATGAGATGAGAAACAATCTACTCGACGGCTGGTTGTCAACCAACGAACAATCACGGAGATTAAATCACGCACGAAATATTCCTGGAGAAGGCAATTATGATAATAAAAGTTATAATTCTAGGTGAGCCTATTAAAATAACCGACCTTCTGAAATCATATGATGAGAAATTACTTGTTTCATTGTGAGGGGGATTAACTGTTGTTATTAGACTAAAATATAACCCTGCTTCCTTACCAGAATTCACAAAGTTATAATTCTAGGTGAGCCTATTAAAATAACCGACCTTCTGAAATCATATGATGAGAAATTACTTGTTTCATTGTGAGGGGGATTAACTGTTGTTATTAGACTAAAATATAACCCTGCTTCCTTACCAGAATTCACAAAGTTATAATACGATTCTGACATGTGTATGGTTAAACCTCAGTTAGAAATAAATATAGTTTTTGTAAATCCTGTTTATTTAGATATTTATCATTCTACCTGTACATATTTTGTCCAATTTAAGTGTTATCTGACTCTCAATAATATCTATCACTTGTTCAAGCTATTAAATTTTCTCCAAATGAGCAATCATGGCATGAAGTAATTGTGGTAAGTATTCTAAAGTAAACAAACATTGAACTCTACATTTTTAACATTCTTACAGATTCTGTTTCATGTAATCTTGATTTCACTTTCTGTTCCCTTTTTTTTCATTCAGTAAGTCGGTGTCGCGAAAATATTCTGATTTTCTTCCAGGTGTTCGATAGAGGGCAGCACAAGACTATGTTCGAGTGAGATAAATACCACAGCGCCATTGTTTGGTAAATCTATGACATCGGGAAAAACAGTAGCAATTATACAGAAGTTTCCAAACTTTCTCCAACAGGTGGTGTACGACGTTTGCGAGTAAGATTAAATATTTTTATGTTTATTATTATTATTATATTGTGAACAAACAACAACTATTAATAATATACCGATAATCATTTCTACACAAGAATAATGTTATTATAATATTTATTTTACTGCTTCCTGTAAAAACCATACTATCGTTTAAACATCATCAAAATGGAGAGGGTATTGAATAACTTACCACTTGAAAAAAATACTGTTTAACGATATGCTATTGTAAGCAAACCTTTTGACTGTCTACGTAAAAGGCCATCTCCATAAGAAGAAGATTTAACAAAATTTGGAAAGTAGAAGAACAAAGATAGCTAGAGTTCGCTTTATACGAGTATACTTCACAACAACCAGACAGTTTTAGTTGGTTACCAACTTAAATCTGTATACAACCAGTTCTAAATAGCTAATGATTTTACCTGGCTGTTTGAGTTGGGATGGATATCCTTTAATTTTTTCACCCAAATCACAGTGAACGTAGGTATTTAACATACTATTTAATTATCAAGTTCTTCACGGAACTTTTCGGCGTTGAAGAAGTCTAATCCAAGATGGCGCGCATCATTGTACCCAAAAATCCAAGTTCATACCCTTACGTATGGAATTCATTGCGTTCGTGGTCATGCATTAATTAGCGATAAATAACCATTCGATAAGAACTTCACTCGTGAATGTGGATTCTTGAGATAAAACTAAGTTTGAAAGTTCTAAATCCTCCCGAATTATAATATTTCACTGACGAATCCATGATGCTGGAGGAAAACACGTGAGTTCAAAAGAACCAATTAAATATAAAAACCCCAGAACCCAATGGCTTTCGAAAAGTAAACCTTATCCTTTCGGGAGTAAATGGTGTATCGATGGTGTTGATTATCAGAGCTGAAGTTGGTTATACCTGGGGCCACGAAAACAACATGGATTTATTAAAGATGGTTCATTGCACCCAGATAAGGTACTTTGTTTAATAATATGAATTTTGTTCTTCATTTCAATACACTTTAGCTGATCTACTAGTTTTTTCAGTGGTCTCGGAGGATATTATTAACAAGTTCCTAATCGTGTATATGGAAGAGTGGTCGTGCTTTTGTTACAAGAAGTAAATACTTTGTAGATGTTTACATTTTGTTTTATACGTCTTTGGTTCAATTGTATATTCCAGGTCAGCCGAATGTAAAGTTCTAAGAGGGCACTGCACGCAGACTTTCACTCCTTTCCTGTTTGTTACTATACCCAACGGACCAGCTTCTAAGGTTGAAGCACTTCTTCTGGAAGACGACAGACACAACCACTCTCTACCAGCACGTAACAAATAAGTTGAGTCTGTAGCTTCTAAGGTTGAAGCACTTCTTCTGGAAGACGACAGACACAACCACTCTCTACTAGCACGTAATCCTGACCAAGCAGAGTCACTACAGACTCAACTTATTTGTTACGTGCTAGTAGAGAGTGGTTGTGTCTGTCGTCTTCCAGAAGAAGTGCTTCAACCTTAGAAGCTACAGACTCAACTTATTTGTTACGTGCTGGTAGAGAGTGGTTGTGTCTGTCATCTTCCAGAAGAAGTGCTTCAACCTTAGAAGCTACGGACTCAACTTATTTGTTACGTGCTAGTAGAGAGTGGTTGTGTCTGTCGTCTTCCAGAAGAAGTGCTTCAACCTTAGAAGCTACAGACTCAACTTATTTGTTACGTGCTGGTAGAGAGTGGTTGTGTCTGTCGTATTCCAGAAGAAGTGCTTCAACCTTAGAAGCTACGGACTCAACTTATTTTATACTTTTACTAAAATATTAAGGATACGATATAATGCTTAAGTTATTTTATTTTACTAAGTTGTTACCTATAAACAATGGTGTAGTGTAGATTTTATCCTGCTGGAGCTCTGCCAAAATGTGTCACACGTGTGACGTCACCATATTTCATAGTCAAAACTTAATATCCATTTTTGTAAGTCCATTTTAAATAAAGAAAATATATGAAGCATTAATTATTTGAGACTACTTGTATTAGTAATAACTTGAATACGCATATATTAGTGAGAGAAAATACGCAACTCAACTGTCTTTAAATTAATCAGCACAACAACAACAGTTTTCACACGTGCAATATTTTTGTTTCCTTCAACTTCAGTGTTTACAACGTTTGATACATTCTGTCAACACGAATAACTTAAAATAGCAACCTTCGTTGTATATTATATAGATAATAAGCCTTATAAAAATGTGTACGTTTTAAACACAGAATAGTTGTAAAATATATTTTATTAAGTGTTTAATACCATATTCGTATGTTTAACCACGTGATGTATGACAAAAAATTCGCATTCTAACGCTCCATCAACTGCTCTTGAGCGGGAGTGGTCAAAAGGTGCCTGACGCTAGCTCCTGAGGGAGAGTGATAGAATGTGTGTTGGGAGGTTAGCTAAAGCTCTACCGTGCAAACCGGATGTCACAAATGAAAGACACTTGATTTCGGGATTTAAATTGAATAACTTTTCTTATATACATATTTTTAGCTTTTGAAGTGTCGGGACCCAGTTACAATTTTAGGTGTAAGGGCGGCACTATATCTCTGCCTAAATGGTCCATCATTAGTGACAGAAGTAGATAAAATGCCCCCAGTGGCACAGCGGTATGTCTGCGGACTTACAATGCTAGGCTCCGGGTTTCGATACCTGTGGTGGGCAGAGCACAGATAGTCCATTGTGTAGCTTTGTGCTTAATTACAAACAAACAAACAAGTAAGTAAAAATAAAACATACTGTCCTAATATTGAACTAGCTAATCCATATACATACTGTTGTGTAAATTATGTAAACACACTGTCCTAATATTGGACTAGCTAATCCATATACACACTGATGTGTAAATTATGTAAACACACTGTCCTAATATTGGACTAGCTAATCCATATACATACTGTTGTGTAAATTATGTAAACACACTGTCCTAATATTGGACTAGCTAATCCATATACACACAGATGTGTAGATTATGTAAACCCACTGTTCTAATATTGGACTAGCTAATCCATATACATACTGATGTGTAATTATGTAAACACACTGTCCTAATATTGGACTAGCTAATCCATATACATACTGTTGTGTAAATTATGTAAACACACTGTCCTAATATTGACTAGCTAATTCATATACATACTGCTGTGTAGATTATGTAATTTCGTTCTTTTTTAGATGATCGTACCTATAAATATAACAGAAAACAGTACACTGGATAGCCAGGTGAACTGTGACCGGATAATCCAATTTTAAGCTTATCTGATACAATAATCTTAATTTATTGAAATAACAACTTCACTTCTATCTTGTCGGACAAAACGAAAACGGAGATACTGTCCTGACTTTCATTTAGTTTAAATATGGATGTTAAAAATAAAATCCTGTGAAAGAAATGCCTGCTTAATAATCGCATGATTATAGTTTTTAATAAAATTAAAAAAAATACATTTACTTGTTAAACGAATCATCTGATTTCGAGTTTAATACAAATAATTTTAAGTAGACTTAATCTTGGCTTGATGGGTTTTTTAGAGACCTATTAGCAGCCATTAATATTCGATCCCACATCTGTGATAGAGATATTTTATGCTTAAAATCACTAAATCCACTTAAACTACGTTAACAAAAATATTCCACTGTTTATTCCAGATGATTTTCAGGTTTTCAAAAATTAGGTGTGTCAGCAATAATTGCTAATACTATAGTGTTTAGTTCTGTCCACATTTCGTACATTGTTGTCCCCTAAAAAGATCAATAAATTATATTAAATATAAAATACTTGTTACTTTAACATCACACGCTCTATTATAAAGACAGACAATTGTACAAGTTTTGTAAGTGGCACAACGTGTTTCAAGCCAAACAAACAGTAGTATATAGATAAATCAGTTATTTATCAGGTAAAAACTGTAGTTTTGCGTTTGTAATGGTAAGCCTAATACTCTCCTCATTTACAATAGATCTAAGAAATTAGTCTCGAGGAATGTATGGTAAGACGGCCACCTTAAATTTGAATTCCACCAATTAGAATGAATGTCATGAAAAGACAAAATGTTTTAAAATGAACTCTTTGTTATCATAGATGTTATTTGTAGTTAAAATAGATATTGAATACAGATTTTTATAATACTGAAAAAAATCACAGCTATAACATTGGATAAAATGGACACCCCTAAGATGGGTAAAATGGCCTCCATATAACTTAGGACAAATGCAGTTTAACATAACTGCATTTAGCAATTGCATTTAAATCTATTAAATCATTAAATCGTAGTTGCACATATAACTGATGATATATACATATTTGGCCGTTCTACTGACGAGAATTTTGTTTGTAATTAAGCACAAAGCTACACAATGGGCTATCTATGCTCTGCCCACCATGGGTATAGATTCTAGCGTTGTAAGTCTGCAGACATACCGCTGTGTCACTGGGGGGTGGGGGGCTGACGTGGACTGTCTTACTTTACTTTTCCCTACCTGTGTGTTTTCAGTAGAAAAAATAATAATAATTACACCTAACGCTCTGTTGTTTAGAATTTCTACCCTAAACTAAACAAGGGTTATCTGCGCATAACTGTTCCTAATTTTGAACTAATAGACTATAGGTAAGGCAGCTAGTCAACAGCACCTACCAACAGAATAATCAACAATATAACAAAATTATAATCAGAATGATCAACAATATAACAAAATTATAATCAGAATGATTGTGTCAATCAAAACATACATGTAAGCTACTGAAGAGGCTAAAATGAAAAAACTGTATTTTTTGTTACAAGTAAACAACACGTAAATTGGCACAAAACAACAATATCCATTTCCTTTGCTAGACTTTAAGATCTTTTGTTGTAGTTTAAAGTCATATCTGTTCTACAGTTCTTGTTTTTTCTAGCTTCAAAAGGTTAAACTCTATAGGGTAACCCATGTATAACAGCTATCCACTGACCATGAAACGCTTTTCACTCCTTCGTCTAGTATCTTTCGCGGTTGTCACGTGATCAGCCCTTTCTAATAATACACCCCTTCATAGTATAATACAATTCACAACCCAGTGATTCCCAGTTAGGTGCAGGTGGTTGGACAAGTAACGGAGAACAGGTACTAATACCAGTGCATCATGTTTCTCGTGCGAGTGTTGTGTTAGCACTGGAACTCGGGAAGTAGAGTGTGTACTCCTTCTATACCTGTAGGAAGACAGCACTCTTACACTGACAAGGCTTTAACTTACTTATAACGTTTCTTCGGGATCCTTTTGTAATGAGTATCAGGGTTTCCGTAAGATTCATCGTTTACTTTCTTCTGGTATATCTATCAAAGCCCTTAGTTTCTGGTAAGTACAACTTTCTCTTGAATTGTCAGATACCTAAACTAGTGTTTAAAGTCCACGTGTAAAACCGATCACGCAGGTTCTGTATTTAAAAACGGCCCCCCTTGGTCATCATGGTCTTGTTGACTGACAGAGTGTTGCTGGATGTATTCTACGACAGTATTGTACATCATGGAAAAGGTACAAAGGAATATTTTCTGTGTATCCACGTCCTATAGAGAACCTGTGTAGTCTTATAAAGTTTCTTCATAACCTACGTATCTGTCTTTAATCAAGGGATCGTACTAAAGTTATACTTTCATTAACTAACCTCTAACGAACTAACCTCTATGTTGTTTCATAAAATTTTGATGTAAATTTTTCGCCCGAAAGTTGTGATGTTAGCAGCATAAAAATGAAAACGTTTTCTAAAAGACCCAAAATCTTTCACGTCCCCCGATGGGTTAGTGGGCTTACAACGGTAAAATCCGGGGTTCGATACCCCACGGTGTAGAGAGAGTGTGTACAAATAACCTATTGTATAGCTTTGCTACAAGAAAACAACAAAACTTCCTTTCGATTGTGATGATTAAGATACCAACTTAGAAATATTTTGGTTAGTTTCGAATTAGCCAATACGTTATATCATTTGTTTAACAGTTTATGATTTTATCAAGTAATATTGATAAATTACTTAGTTGTTTCTACGTCATACCCTCACTTTTATCCTTACTTTAATCTAATATTAAGTTTATATATCGTCAGTTGCTTGTATAGTCCGTTGCTATATCATTCTCTTGTAGTCATCAGTTTATTACTTTTTATGACAAACGGTTATTGCTTTTTAGTTACACATACATATATATACAGGTACAGTAAATACAACTAACGGGAGTATCTTTTCGAACTGAATCTTTCCGACGTCCTGTAACTATCCATACATCTTATTCGAGTTATTTCAATGATTAACAAACCTGTTTTCGTAGTACATACTTGCACGTGAGTGGGCTTTTCAAAGATACAACTGTGTCATATTAACGTTTAATGTTGGTAAAAGGAGAAACGTAGAAGCAACAATTGGAATGTAGCTTTTGAGTCTGTAGAAAAATTGATGGAAAGTATTAACGAAACAATTAAATTAATCTTCATCATGGTTACTATTGTGTTTTAGTATAATAATACCTAGAAATGATAACAGCCTAACTACTAACGTGTCATAACCTACTTCATCGTGTGACAGACCAGTTTGACGGGTGGGCGAGACAACCCAGTCTTCAAGAACCATATTAGTTTAATGAGGCATTACTTGAGTATGAAGAAATATTGTGTTAATATAACAGTAAATTGACAAACAACGATTTATCAGTAAAATGAAGTTTTTTAAGGGGGTGGAGAGGGGCATACTACATGTTTTGGGCTAAAGAAGACAAAGTAATGTTCTGTCAAAACAAGTACTATGTTCCCCAATAATATAACCACTTCATTATAATGGTATGTCGTTGTTTGTCAATTTAATATTAAGGCAGAGAAGGTTGATGTTTCTTCAGAAGTTGGGTAGGTCCGCTGAGAGCTGGAATGAAATATTGTTTCTAGCTGGCAAATATACGGTTTA